ACTGCTATTTTGTTGGAGCAACACATGGTTAGTACATTATACTATCTGTCTTGAGCTGATGTAACTTAATTTCAATCAGGTGCTATGTCCTTCACTGTTACTCCCTTATCACATCTGAATTTCCACTTAAGTTTATGGGTTTTTATAGCATTTCTAAATATTTAATTCTAAAAGTAGTAACACTTAATACCTTTGTATTTTAACCTTTTACTGGAGCTATACATGATTTATACATCTCCATTATGGTGTTAATACATTCTTAAATTATGCATTATTTTTACCAGTGAATTTTATACCTGTATGTTTTAACATATTAGTAACCCTTTGTTTCAGGTTTATACAATCCTTTTAATATTGTGTGCAAGCCAATTCCGGTAACTGTCTCATACCAGCGAAGTCTTTGTTTGTATCACCCCCATTTCTGAGTGGCAGAGTTGCTGGAAAAGTACTGAATTCTTAGGGTTCTGTAAAGAAACAGAACTGATATTGTGTATGTGTGTGTGTGTGTGTGTCTGTGTGTGTGTACACATGCATGTGTATATACACAAACATATATGATCTATTTGAGTGGCTTACAAGGCTGTGGCCCAGCTAGTCCAGCAATGGCTATCAGTTTATAAAGATGGATAACTCAGCTGGTCTTCTGTCTTCATTGGAATCCCAATGAAGTAGGTTCTAAGACCAGTGAAGGAATGCCTCAGAATCAGGATAGATAAATTTTTCCAGTGAGCACAAAAAGAATGGGACAATAACAAAATCTTCCTTCTTCCATGTCCTTTTACATGGGCTGCCACTAAAAGTTATAGCCCACATTTAGGTAGGTCTTTCCACCTCAGATAATTCAATCAAGAAACCCCTCATAGGCATGCTTGGGTATTGGTTGGTTCCAGATGTGGTCAAGTTGACAGATAAGATCAGCCATCACATGTTCTCTTGGTTCATTTTGTAGTTGTTATTGGAGTGACAGGACCTACAAGGCAGAGGCAGAATTGACAAAGATGCCCAAAGCAGGACCATCCAGTGTCTTGAAGGGTACATTGTCTCAGTGCTAGAGACACTGACTTGAGATCACATTGTTTAGCAGTGAGATCCATGACAGTATTAAATGCATGGTCCTTTGTGACAAAAGTTCCTTGAAGTGTGTGATACGATGCTAGAGGCATAGTGGCAATTTGGGTTCCAGCTTCAAGGGAACAAAGCCCTAGACATTGAAGATACGGTATTGTTTGTGTGAGCTTGGCTGTGGCACTCAACTACAAGCTTTTGTTAAGACCTGAACAGGAGCCAAATGCAGGACTCTTCAGCGTGGAAGGTAATAGTGTATTCCCACATGGTTACAGGAGTTAGGACTGTTACTCTTGTGTGGAGCTTAGTACAGGGACCAACAATCGTTAGCAGGCACAATGGTTGGAACAATTCATGGAGGACAGGATCAGCTGGAGCCAGCTTCTGGAGTCTGCAGTAGCAAAGCTGTGGGACCCTTTGTTGTCCAGCTGCGGGAGAACACAGCTGTCACCAGGATGTCTCCATGACTCTGTATTACAGGGGCACCCAGTATAGGTTCTCTCATTCCTTTCCATCACAACCTTGCTTTTACTACCACCCCATACAGCAGTGACTTCCAGATCTGTAACTAACCCTACATACTCCAACCCAGATTCACAGCAACATACAGAACATTGCAACCAGGACAGAGTTCTGCATTCAATATTAACTCAGCATGACCAACTTTGAACTCTTTTTCTTTCTAAATCAGGTATTGTTTTTCAAGTTTCTTTTTAGGGGTTCATGCCATCAACCTCTACTGAAAACTTTAGCAGAAACTGGCTACTGGTTCTCCCATATCTGTAGTCATCATTACTGCCATGCAGCTTGTTGTCTCTCTGTTTTGAGCACCAATTTCTCCAGAGTATTTATTCTCATCTAATCTCAGACTTTCGCCACTAAACTGGTACAACTTATTTTGATCTGTTTTTGTTTCAAACATATTGTCTTTCTTAACTCTTCTGTGGCCTTATTCCTGAGCACAAGTCAACATCTTAAATGTCCATGTGTAAAACTCTTTGTGGCCTTATGTCATTGTTCTAAGGATAAAATCTAAATGATCTCATGCAACATTCAAGTGCTGCCCAAATATTATATACCATAACAGGTTTACAATTTTGTTTGAGCTATTTGCTTATCACCTCTGGGACTTTATGTATTCTAATTACTGGCATGTATTAGTCCATGTTTTAAATTTTCAAGCTTATGTGGTCAGAGGAACTCCTGGAATGGAGCTAGAGGCAATTGTGAGCCACCAGATGTGGGTGCTGGGCACCAACCTCAGGTCCTCCACATGAGGATACACACGCCTAACTGCAGAGCCATGTCTCCATGTGCCCTACTGTACAGCCATATCTCCACATGAGGATCCACATGCCTAACTGCACAGCCATGTCTACACATGCCCAACTGTACAGCCATGTCTCCACGTGCCTAACTGCAGAGCCATGTCTACACACGCCTAACTGCAGAGCCATGTCTCCACATGCCTAACTGCACAGCCATGTCTACACCTGCCTAACTGTACAGCCATGTCTCCACGTGCCTAACTGCACAGCCATGTCTCCACGTGCCTAACTGCACAGCCATGTCTACACATGCCTAACTGCACAGCCATGTCTCCATGTGTCTAACTGCACAGCCATGTCTACACATGCCTAACTGCACAGCCATGTCTACACATGCCTAACTGCACAGCCATGTCTACACATGCCCAACTACAGAGGCATGTTTCTAGGTCTATGGGCATGAATTTTAAAGAATTATAATATTTATGCTGTCAAAATTCTTATTTGTCCAAGCTCAAATTCATACACATATTTTTCAAAGTCAGAGTTTATTCTAGTACATGTTATGTATACATTGTCTCTATCACCTTATTAACCTAAATATACTGATATTATTGTTATTTTGAGATGGGCTTTTATTGTTTGGTTTGGGTTCTCTTCCGTCCTACCGATTGAACTCAGCTCCTTTTCCATGTTAGACAATACTTCCACAGAGCTACACCCTCAACCATATTTTCAAAGTTTATTATTATTGTTGTTGTTGTTGTTGTTGTATTTCAGAGTATTTATTCATTTATTATTATTATTCTTTCATACACTGCATTCCAATCAAAGTTTCCCCTCCTTCCACTCCTCATAGGCTCCCACCTCCTCTCGCCCCCAGAGGCAGCTCTCCTCCATTTCTCTTCAGAAAATATCAGGCCTCGCAGCGATATCAGTCAAACACAGCCTAACACCTTACAACAAGACTAGACACAAACCTTTTGAAGCTAGGTGTCAAGGCCTTTCTCTATGTGGCTTCCTGTTTTTTAAGCAAGGTTTCTACTAGAGGAATTAATTATTAAACCTCTGCCGAGAAGAAGAAGAAGAAGAAAGAAAAGTGGAAATACAGCGTTGGGCATAGTTTACAGTGAGACTCGTTTGCACTGCTCGCTATGAGGAGGGCTCAAGCTGTGTCTTCTCCTTTCAAAACAATATCTGATGGTCCTCTACGTACATTTCAACTCAAATCAAAGATGTGCTTTTGTTTCACTGTAGTTGGTCATTTATCTCAACTCTTTGAAGATATTAGAGCTGAAAGTGGCCTTGCCCTTTTGTCAAAGTTTATGATGTATTTTCAGGATTTCTTGAATTAAGATGCATAAAACCACTTACTTTTGAAAATGCATAAAAGATCAAAGTGAAATAACTCTGAAGAATAAACCTAACAATGCAGAACGGGCAGTGACGTCACCATTTCAATTGCCTCTGTCCTTAAAGCCCAGGAAATCTCTGTACTCGTCTAGATAAGCGTCCACTCCTTATCACTACACTGTGTATGGTACATCACCCTCTTTGTCAGCTGGACTCTACCTCCCTTCATAGTCTGTGTTGTTGTCTGTCTGTTAATTTCAATATGCATATATTTTCTATGTATGCAAAAAATTTCCCTCCTCTGAAGTTCAGAGCCTGCTCCATACATTATTCAAATAATGATTCAAATTTCAATTTAATAAAAAATTAAATGTTTTAAATTTTAGACTATACAATAAAATATGCAAGCTTGGTGTGAATTGTTCTTTCTGAGTTTGGTTGGTTTACCTCTATTTTATGCTTGTCCTTTGCTGTCACTGACTCTTTTGATACAGGAACTTGATGTCAGCAAGCCAAGGGAAACATTCTGATGGAGCCAGGACTGTATGGAGGTTCAGTCTGAAGGAGTTTAATAACATTTTGCTCATGATAACAATGATCAGGCATACTTGATTCTGGAATGTGTTTTGAGGAATAGGGAGAGAAGATTCACTGTATAAATAAGAACCAGGTGTTCATGCCAAGTACTCTCAAATCCCAGTTTTAATGGTCAACACTGTGATGTGGTAACCTCATCCATTTCATCGATAGTTTTCTATATCTGTAATGAGAAATTACTTGGCTTCAATCATGTCTGTATACTTTCCTTGGATTCATTCCTAGGTATGAAATGATTTCAATAAATGACTTGACTTCCATCATGTCTGGCTACTTTCCTTGGATCCCTAGGTACCAAATGATTTCAGTGAATCAAATGAGGGGCTACTTTTGGATTTTTGGAGCTCTTGAGTTATAGACCAATAACTGGTCATGATAATTCCCATAGTGGCAATCAACTTGTTCCTCCTTCAGATATGAGCACATGAGAAACAATCTCTCTGCTCCTCGTCATCCACCCTCCCTTGATTCTAGTTGGGAAATCCGAAATTATCCACTCATATTCCTTCCAATTTATTGTGAAATTGAGGAAAGAAATAGGTTGATTGCAGCAGCAGTATAATTAAATAATGTTCATAGAAAGATGAGGACAATAATTTGACTAATATCTCTGGTTTTAGTGTCTCTCATAACCACATAGATGATAGATGATAGATAGATAGATAAACGCAAGTGACTCTGATTACATTCACAATGAAATATAAAGGAAATGTTCACTCTTTTTTATTATCTATTTGTTTATTTATTTATTAGTATTCTCTGAGCCAGTTACATTCCTGCTGCCATAATGCCTTCCAGATATTCATGGAAATATCCATCCAGTCTTCGTCATTCTACCTAGGACATGGTAGAGAGACAGTTTCAGAATGCTAATGACAGGTACCATCAGGACCTCTGAAATGCCTCAGCTAGGAAGCACTTATGGAACACGAGCTCCCCAGCGATGCTCAGAGCTCATTATCTTTAGGGGGTCCTGATGCTCAGAGCTCATTATCTTTAGGGGATCCTTCCCTATAAACTGCATGGGTGGGAAAGGAAGGGACTGCTGACAGGACTTCAGACAGGTGGAAATATTTGTTAGTATTGGCTAGTAACATGAAGCTTGAAAGCCACAGACATCACTTATCCTGAAGATCCTCTAACTGCCCTTTCGCGTGTGTGAGTTCATTCCCAGAGCCAATAATAAGCGAATGTGCAATGACAACCTCTGCTTCAGCTCCACGTGGGGAAACATGCCATGGCAGGTTCAAAATTACTGTCCTTTTGTCTTTCTGTGGCGAGGAACAATCCTAGCCAAACTCTGAAATCAAAGTCAATTTGCATTGGTCCGCCCCTGCTGCTCGTTACCGACAGGTGGCGCTGCTGCAAAGCAGATCAACCTGCAGAGCGGCAGGCCGGGTCCACACAGGTGCTGCGGCGACAGCTGTCAGGGCGCCCAGCCTCATTTCATCTCCACAAATGAACCTTTTCATTTAGCAGGTGATTCATCCACAAATTAAGACAGTGTACTTACTCAGGACCCAAACTCTAACCTATATTTGAATAAATCTAGGCTTTTCTCTAATTCGTTTTTAATTCTTTTCTTTAAATGGGCTTAAAGATACTCTACTCATTAAAGTATTTTAAATATTCATTACATTGCAATTCCCTCAGCAGGCCGTCCCGGTAAGCCGATGTTGCTGTTGCGTGTTTTATTATGAAAAATAATACTTCCTCATTCCCTCCTCTTCCTCCCTTTCTCCAATATGATCCTGGGTTGCTTTGAGAACAATACCATCTAATGTGGTCATGGGTCATAGCCAAAAATAGAGAGGCATATATATATGTATATATACATATGTGTGCATTTATGTCATGGAGTCTATTCATACTTCATTCATTATGCACCTTTTCAACCAGACAGGAAAACATTCATCTTCCTGAGACTGTGGGCATAAAGGCAGCCTGTGAATTTAGATGGTCACCAACAAACTGAAATGCATGAAACTTGTTCTGCATGGCTGTTGATAAGCTCCTGAAGGTAGGAAGGAAGTCCATGGTAAAGAAACCCTCTGCAGAGCCCCCTCCTCCACAGTGGTGGGGATCTCTAAATGAATGACTGTGCCGCGGAGCCCTGAAGCCACAGGAAACGTAGAAGGAGCTAGACAGTATTCTAAACTCTTGCTCTGGTTTTATTTGTAGCCAAACAACCCAAAGCCTTCTCAAATTGGCCCTGATTATTTTTGCTCATAATTCTGAGAAGACATAAAATTTCAAAGACATTCAACATAACTTTCTCCCAAATCATTTCCTTCCCCGGAAGCCATCAATCTGAACTGTGTTCAGAAGCCAGCAATAAACAGTTACATGACTAAACAAACGACATAGGCAAGTGTCGATGCCATAAGCTGGGCAGGACAGGGAGGCCAACAGTTATCATGGCACTGCCCATATAACCATGGCCACACTGCAGAGCATGGGGCTCAACTGCTGGCTACTCCTGGTTCAAGGCCAGTGGAGCCTTGCTGCCACTGAGCTGAGCCTTCTCAAGGAACACTATCTCCTGAGAGCTAGTGTCACACTGGTCAGGATGTGAGTCTAGTCTCTGCCCCTGAGGGGTATCGTAAGCGCCTAGCTTCAGGAAGTCTGCCTTCTCCTATGGTAAATATATAATGCATCTCTATGAAAGGAAATGAGATGCTACCAGAGAAAGGGCTTGGAAACCATGGCCTCCAATCTGAAGGAAAATGTTTGAACCATGAATCCAATTTATAAAAATCAATTCCCGAAGCCCCTACAGCTGCGCATTATAGTCTGTCCCCTGCATGATGCCATACGGCTCTCCAAATGCTGCATCATTTTTATATGTAAAAAATTATCTTCTATCTGTAAAGATAAAGAATGCCCGACAACGAATTAAATGTTTTCATGGTAAACAATGTTCATGTTCCATTTCAGTTTAGCTTCCACATTCACCGCGAACCCACAAACTTTGTGGCGTCCTTTTCTCCTTTGTCTGTCCCTCTACTCTTCATTAGCCACGCTAGGTCGAAGACTGACAAGAACAGGTGCTGGAGGATGCTCAAGAGATCCTTGCTCACCTCTCACTGGGCATCCAGGGGCTCCAGGGGGCAGAGTGCAGTGAGTCTTTGGTGTTTTCTCTAAATAACACACTTCAAAAGCTCCGTTGCAGCGGACCCATGTCACATGCATTGACCTCATAGATGTGATTTCGTTCTTACTAGGATATTTCAGGTTTTGAGACCATGGCTGTCACACTCTACCCTTAGCAGCCCTTCACCGCAATCCCAGAGCACTCTCCTGGATCATCCCCGCCACCCTCTACATCACCTCAGTTACTTGTGTCCAATGAAGAGAATGTGCATTTTTCAAAGCACTCACATGGCCCTTACATCCTAAGGACTTAAAGGCGATTATGATGACTAAATAAAGTGAATGAACATGTAGTTAGGGTCGATGGGAAAATCATGGGTACAGGAACAGAGAAAGGAAGCCACTCATCCCAGAGTCTGGGTGATGCCTCTCATCGGCTGAAAAGAAAGACTCCAGTACAACTAACATTTCCTACAAAAGTCACCAACGAGGTAATCGGAATTTTATGCAGATTTTTTAAATAAAAATGTTGAAATAGCAATAAGTGAGGCTTAAGCTCTGAGGGTATACTGAGAGAAGAATGGCCTTACCCCTTGCCTAAGTGTTCTCACAAATAAGAGGATTTGCTTTGGTTTACAGTAAACACTTCTCATCTCTCAGCATCCCTGTGACCTAGAGTTTTACCTTATTGAATGTAATCCTGTCTGTCAGGCACACCTAAGGAGTGAGCATCGGATTTCATCTAAATTCCTTACCAATCCTCTGGAGATAAAACTATAGACGCCAGCAAAGCTGTCCATGTGGACATTGTAAAGACAAACGAGTGTCACTCGCCTTCCAGAACTGCTCTCAGACAAACCTGATTCACCTAGTGTCTCTATTCACCCTGGTGCTTTAAACCTATGTTTAAAATTCCTTTGTCTTTTAAAACTCATGTATTTATTTACTTAGGTGTGCATGTATATGTCTGTGTATATGTGTACTCACAACTTTGTATGAAGGTGTATGTCCTGTGCACCTGTTCTTCTCTGACTTCTCTATTTATTTGAGGAGAGCAGGGTCTCTCCTTTAACCTGGAGCTGAAGTTTTCTCATCTAGGCTGGAAGCAAGCAAGGACCCAGTAATCCTCCTGTCACTACACTCCTCAGAGCCAGAGCCACAGATGTGCACCAGACACCTAGATTCTTCCATGACAGCTGGGATACAAACCTCAGACCGTATGGTTTCATAGCAAGTGCTCTTAACCACTGAGCCATCTCTCCAGTCTTTCACAAAGTCTCTTAATAGATTCCAACTCAGCTTCAAACTGTCTTCTCTTGAGATTCTTTCATGCAGTGAAGTCAAGGATACCTAACCCTTGCAGGAAAGAGACCTCCTCTGGATGATTTGCTGGTGACATCATTTTCCCATTCATCTGTTATCATAAGAAGAAATAATGATAGAAAAAGTTTAATTAACTGTCCTTCATTACTGGTTTGATGCTAAGTAATACAGAGAATTTGAAAGGTGGTTTATGAGTTTTAAAGTTACTGGATTCTTACATATGTAGGACTTAGCAATCTTTCTAGATATGTACCCTGGTGGTTGACTCTAATTTGGGGGGGGGTTCTATCCAACTAATTATGACAGTTGTATTTACAGTTGCAAAAAATACTAGAAGCAATTAAATTCAAGCCTGGTGTGGAGAAGAATTGTGTAGTCTTAGCACATGGGAGGCAGAAGCAGGCAGATCTCTGTGAGGTAGAGGCTAGCCTGGTATACATAGCAAGGTCTAAGCTAGCCAATGGTACATAGTAAGACCATATTTTTTTAAAGCCTTCAGTTATATGGATAAGGGAACTGTAAGACATATGAACAATGAAATATTATTCCAACTATTGTTGAAACTTCATTTCATAGTGAGTGAACAAAACCAAACTCAAAAGGTTGTATGTACATATGTCATTTATGTAATGCTCTTGGGAAAACAAATGGTGAAACTGAGAAACAAGAAGAATTTCTTAAAGATGTATGTATGTGCATTTGTGTGTATTTGTATGCATGTATGTGCATTCTTGTGTGTTTTATGTGTGTATTCACATTTGTGTGTGCATATATATTTGTGTGTGTATATATCATAAGTGTGTGTGTGTGTGTGTGTGTGTGTGTGTGTGTGTGTGTGTGGTGTCTTGTGGATGCTATGTAACCACACTAAAACTGAGCTATATCTCCAGCTTTCTGAGGGATTTGAGGAGTGGAAGGTGTTGACCATTACAATGCATACAGGGAAGTTTTAGGTGATAAGACTATGCTATACAATGCTGTGCCAATGTTTATGGTACTATACATTACAAACAGCAAACTCTGCCACATGAGAATGAAAACAAACATAAAAAATTGGAGACACCAGGTGGAACGCAGACTAAGCAGTGAGTCTAACTATAGTACTGGTTGGTATCTAAGAAAACCACACTGAACTGGTAAAGGCAAAAGAGCTGACCTAAATCAGTTTGGGACTTTAACCAGGAAGTATAAGAGTAAAGAGAAAAATAAAGAGCTATAGTTAGCAGTGTAGTGTGAGGCAATCAGTACATTCTTTAGGGAATAGATTAGCAATTCTGAAAATACATGCTGCTAACTGCATTTGGTCATGAATGGACCATGTTATATTGGTCTCAAGGACTATGACGTGACATCATCTACTTTAGTCTACATTAAGTTCATTCTAGGATATTTACACAATGACAAAATTGCTTATCAATGCTTCTATTAGAACATTTACCCATTAGTAATAAATGCAAGACTGTATTTGACACACAATAGTAAAATTAGTAAATGAACTAGAAACAATGGAACCTAAGTTTCACATTGTCAGAGAGAGAAGGCAAAAATAATCAAACAAAGGTGGCAGAGAGCAACCTATGTATGAGTGAACTCATCCTGTGGATTTCAGAATAATTTGATGATTAATAGATAGATGAATAAATAAAAAGAGAGATGATAGATGATATAGATGATAAAGATAGATGATATATATGCAGGCAGATAGATGATAGAGTTAGAGATATAAGGATAGTAGATATATTGATAAACAATTGATAGATTATAGGTAATAATAAAGATAGGTTGATTAGATACTACATAGAGATATATTTAGATGATGGATAAATGGGCAGAAAATAGATAAAATTAATGGATGAATAGATAGATGATAGAAACATAGATAGGAAATATATATATATACATATAGATAAATGATAAAAGATGATAGATAGATAGACCCACAGACAGACAAATTGATAGATGATAGATGACAAGTAGATGGAGAGAGAGAGAGAGATAGCTCAATGATAGACAAATATCATGCATTCATTGTCAGTGTAATCTATACACTGAGACTGTCACAAAACAGACACTAAAGCACCTAGGACTTGATTCCTAACTGATGTTCTCCAACAACAGGAATGCAGACTCTGTGCATGCTAGGTGGGGTTCAGAATAACACAACATGATCCTGGAGCACATTGAAGTGCCAGGAAGCTTTTAAATTTCTAAATAATGAAAATAAGCAGAAATAAAAAAAACAAGTGCTCCGAAGATCAACACTTAGATAAAATACTGGGTTACAGTACAGCCTAGTTTCTTACAGGGGAGTCTTTACAGGTAAGAACCAAGAAGTGAAGTAAAAACCTCTGTTAGTAAGAACTGCCTTGCACTGGCCACAGCTAGACACTAAAGCCATAAAGGCAGAGGTGGATAGCCTCAGCAATCCCTGCCACAGCACACACAGTCACTGGGAACTCTAGTCCATACCCACAAGCTTGTTCTTCCTTCCTTCAAGGGCACACTAATCCCCCTTACCTGAAATGTAGTTGGACTTAGGGGTTCCTGTCAAATGCATAAACTTCAAAAACTTGTAACTCAGTGGAGAAACCCGCCAGGCCTTGATGAATGGGGGTGAAAACTAGAGTCCCGTTAGGGAGTGGGAGAGATACATGCCTTCATTCACCCATGGGAAACCCGCACTTAACTAAGAGTTCAGGGTATTTATCTGGAATTTTATGAAAGAGCCAAGACCCTACAAGCAAAAGGAGACCTGGAAGCCAATCACAGCTTGTTGAAGACCAAGGAGCAAGAGGGCTCAGTACTATGTGGTACCCAGAATTAGATCCTTCAGCAGAAAAATAAAGGAAGGAAGGAAGGAAGGTAGGAAGGAAGGAAGGTAGGAAGGAAGGAAGGTATGAAGCCTCATGCAGAACTCTGAAGAAAACCAAGTAGACTTCAGTTTAGTTTCTCATTCTCAGTGAACCCCAATGGGCATTTGTGCATATGTGCATGTGGTGTGCGTGTGTGTGTGTGTGTGTGTGTGTGTGTGTTTGACCTTTCTATTTTTACTGGTGCATGTCCAGTATACATAGTGAAAAGTTTTGTAAGGATATTTTTATTCAGGCAGATCCTGTACTGGGACCCCATTCACCTCTGTGATAGGGTTTCTATTGCTGCAACAAAACACCATGACCAAAAAGCATTGGGGGATAAAGGATTTATTTGCCTTACACGTCAGCATTGTTGTTCATCACTAAAGGAAGTCAGGACAGGAACTCACACAGGGCAGGATCTTGAAGACAGAAGCTGAGGCCATGTGGGGAGCTGCTTCCTGGCTTACTTCTGATGGCTTGCTCAACCCACTTTCTTTTAGAACCCAGCCTAAGGATAGCACCACCCCGTATGGGCTGGCCCTCCCCATTGATCACTAAATGAGAAAATGTCTTACAGCTGGATCTTAAGGCGGCATTTACTCAGCTGAGGATCCTTCCTCTGATGACTCTAGCTTGTGTCAAGTTGACACAAAACCAGGTACAACCTCCTATGTTCTCTCCTTTCTCTCTTCCCCTGCTTGCTATTTCCTTCTCCTAGGCAGTTCTGCTTTTATCATCATGTCATATACATGTGAAAGACTCGTGTGTGTGCGTGTGTGTGTGTGTGTGTGTGTGTGTGTGTGTGTGTGTGTGTGTGTCTTACATATTGAGGATCCACACACATAAGATAGAACATGAGAAAATGTAACGTTTGTCCAAGTCTAGATCGTTTCTAATATGGTAATTTTTCTCTTCCATACCATGCTTTCTGTACCCATTTATGTGCTGATTAAACATAAGTTAATTCCATTATGCAGCATTGCATGCAGATTATATAAAACAATGTTAGGGGAAGTAAAATAAAGGAATCTATGAGCTCATTCTTACAAGTGCTATTATGTATGTTCCAGATACAAATTGAAAAGAAAAGGCATGAGGTTAATAAATGATCCATGGCAATCAGGTGGTAAAGACCCAGGTTAACAGATCACCATGGAGAACATGATGCCATCAACAAGGTGAGGAGTGAGAACCTGAGCACTGGATAGTGAGCAGAATATGGAGATCCACAAAGTCTGAGGGAAGGACATGAGCAGAGACATAGCAGTTTAAAGCTACAAGCTGTTCAGAGAGCAGAGTGACAGCCAGTTAAGGTTGAGGACAGACATAACAAGAAGCAGGGCAGGCAGTTAAAATGGATGCAAAGCAGGCAGGTAAGTATGGATGATATTACAAATATCATCCATATTAACTGTATTCCTCAGGGAAGCGGTGACTTCCTTTCTAGAATCCAGACATCATGTCATCAAATCATACAACTACTAAACACATGACTGCTTCCATCAGACTTAGGTTACCTTTGTTCCCCATCCAGACCATTGGTAAAACACACTTGTAATTTAGTGTTGGAGGCAGATTTGTTAGTGAGTCTGGTTTAACTCAAGGTACAATGGTCAGAACACCAAGTGGCACACGTCTCCTTGATCAGCCGTTGTCACTACTGTCAAAGAACCTTCCAAGGCTCTTGGATCACCATCCTTAGATACACCATTTCTTCTTCTAAGTTGGTGCCTCAGCTGAACACTCTTTTTTGCTTTTCCATCCTTCTAGGTGAGGGATTTGAGACACCATTTCTTTATGTGGTTCTGTATGAATTTAAGTTATTTTTGATGCAATGTCTGCTGGAACAACCATGGCATTGTCTATTTTCATCCCCTCATCTTCATCTAGAAGTTGTCTGTGGCACTCAAAAGACCTCTGTAGCATCCTTTAGTGACCAGCTTGCTCCCCCTTCCTCTTCATGGCAGAAATCACAAAACTAGTCCAAGAGGGGGATTGGCTGACTAGTTAAAGTTACAACAATATTAGGAACTATATATGATGCAAGGATGGGCACCGATTCCCTTCACAATCTTTGTTTGGCTGACAATCATTAGATGCTCCTAGAAAAGCATTCTGTGTATCATTCCCACTATCCAGATTCAACCACCAGCCCTGCTAGCTACCATGGATCCTGAGGCACAAATACTCCCACATGCACACATACCCAGATGCACTTCACCCTTATTACCAGGAAATCAAGCCTTGAAACAACCGTCTGCTCTTGGAGAGAAAAATGATTTCTTTCCTGCAGGTAGTAAAATGTATGAAAATATGCCCATAAACCTCTGTCTCCTAGCGACTCTCTGCAGCTAAGCTAGAATTGCTGCCAGTCTCGAGCTGGAAGGTGAGGAGTAGTGTGGGGCTTCCCATGTGTGAACACTTATCCAGAGGTAAACCTGGAAGATACATATTTTGTCAACACAATATTGCAATGTGACCAAATATGGGTAGCTGAATGTTTATACTACTGTTCTTGAAATTAACTATAGCCAGTCAAGTCAGAGCAGGAGTAATTATCCTTGGTAATGCAGGTTTTCAAGGGGGTAAAATCCCAAGAATAAGGACTAAATTAAACTGCAAATATAGAACATTCAGGTTAAAACTTAAGGTTAAGACCAGTGCATCTTAATCCATCGAGGACTGAGCTACTAGAGGGCATGCCTGACTCCATGAAGTAGATTACAGGGAAGATGTCAAGGTAGTAACCACGTGGGAAACCAGCCTGAGTCCCTGAGTCACAGGTTCCTTTGACCAAGAGTTCTCAGAATGTCCCCCCAGCTCCTGCAAGATAACAGGAAACCTGTCCTAGAGGCCAACTGCCCTATTCTGGAATCATCAGGGAGCCCCTCTCCTCACTTTGCACAGAGGGTTTAAGATGTGTTTTCAGCCTATGTATACCCCCTATTCTGAAGAAAAGGGACTATGCCTACTGCTGACTTCCAAATGTTTAACAGTACTGATTAATTTGCCTCTGTGAATTTTTTCAGCTTCCTCCCATGCTCCCAAATTCTTTCTCCATGGAGCATGCCTGTACACACACACACACACACACACACACACACACACACACACACCATGCAAATTCACTGGAACTTACCCCTGCCTAGTCTCAGACACAGGACTTTTTCTTATACACATTCCCAAGCAAGAGAAAACGCTGTCTGCTCCTCTTCATGAATTCTGTTTAATTTCTACAAGAAAGTACACTCCTTCTCTATTCTCCTGAGCATTCACAGGCTCTCTTACTTTTTGCCCATGATCAATACGATGACACTCTCCTTAGGAGTGTTGCAGAGTGGGCATCCTGAAACTAGCAGGCTCAGAAACTTCCAAAGTTTTTCCTGGAAAAGCCAGCAGGGTGATCAGCATGAAGCCTGGCTTCAGCCTGTGAGAAAGGAAGCCAGCCAGCTCAGAGTGTGGGGAACCCACGGTCACTGAACTCAGTACAGGGTGTCCTGACAAGATAGCTTGGCATTAGACAAATAGATCACCAAGATGAAAAATCAACAGGGAAAATAATTGCTGTTGGCAGAGAAGAATATTGTGACATTTCAGGATCACCCAAATGCTTTTTTCCAAGAATTCATTCTCAGCCACGAGAAATTTTCACAGTTAAAGGGCTGATAAGGTTAGGGGATCCTATTGTATCTGGGGAAGAAGGAAGAAAAGAAACAAAACAGTCAAACACACATATTTAAGGGGAAAACAATACCATTGACTTCTTTCACACTTCAAATGAGAAACTCCAAGATCAATTTACAAAGAAAATTTTGTTGTTGTTTTTTTTGGGGGGGGGTGTGTGTGAACTAGGATGTCTGCAGATGAAAACAATTAGATCACTTCTATGACTTCAGTTTTTGAAAACACACACACACACACACACACACACACACAGAAAGAGAGAGCACACTCAGGTCATTTTCTGGAAAGCTCCTTCACTGGGGACATATGAAGTCCAGATGCCTGTGATAAAGTGACATTTTCCATCCTGTACATAGCTTTGCTTTTCTGTTTTCTCTTCTTTAATACTTCAACCAAAAGCAACCCTCCTGGTTCAACCACTCTTGTCATCCAGCAGTCCTAAGCTGAACCATTTAGAAGATTATTATTGAAATAATTGTCTTTGCTTTAAAAAAACACCAAGTTTTGAAATACTATAATCTCAGTGCATCAGGCATGCCCTCTAATAGCTCAAGAGCAGGTCTCCACCAGTTGCCTATGCTTCCCTGGGTAGAGGTGAATAATTTGAGGAAGTCAAAAAATGATGTCCCCACCCTTCAGGAAGCAATGCATTCTTGAAGGCTTCTTTCATGATGATTGGGCTTATTTTGCTCTTCTGTATAACAAGCATGTGACAGCCATCACTGATCTCAAGTCACCTGGGGAAACCTGGTGGAACTCATGGAGAATATGGCGCTAATCATGTACCTGCTGCCATCAAGCCTCCTCTCTCTATTGTATCCATCACCTCATCTCAAGATGAGTAAAGGAACAGGCTTGAAAGAGCTAGGAAGGTTGACACTGGGAATCTTCATTGCCATTTAAGAGATATATAAAATCCTTAAAAGCACTGTTTATATTCCCAAAGCTTCAGTATTTAACAGCAGTGCGGAGATATTTTAATGAGTAATAATGGAAGGCGGTTAACGTAAAACAATTTTTAGAAACTAATAAGTACATTCATTTTCATTCTGAGAAAAACAGAAGGAACTTTATTTTCCGTCAAGCATCATCAGACTCTTTTTGTGAACATGCCAAGATAAAGCAAAACAGCAATGTTGAACGTCAGAGCCTAAAACGAGTGTGAAGCTGGCCCTTAATCACCCAGCTGAATGGAATTTTAAAGCATACCATGAATGATGAAAAATCTTCCCTTTGCTGCCTGCAATTTTCCCATATATTAGCAACAAGAGCACGGAATGCATCTTAACTCTTAACTCTATCTTTGTGTAAGCCTTCTACAAATACACATGGCTCAAATGGCAAAGATCTACCAGCTCCACACATAAGCATAATCTCAGTGCCTTGCCCCAAAAAATCAGACTCAGCATGAATTTAAATTACCTATGGAAAAAGAACCTTAGAAATTATACACAATAAATTCTATAGAACAATCAATATGGAACATCTAGCTCAATTCTCATGTGTCTATGATACCCTTCTTAGATTAGTACAACCGAATAGCATATCAGTATTGTAAATGAGTTATATAAAAAGTAGGAACGAGGCTAGGGGGTGACTCAGTGGGTAATTCTCTTGGTGCATAATCACAATGACTTAAATTGGACTCAGCAGTTACATTCAATTAATGCTTGATTCCTCAGTATGGGTCTGCAATCCCAATACTGCTGAGGTGAAATGGGAGACAGAGACAGAAGAAACCCAGCAAGCTCAAAAGCCATCCTTCCTGGTGCA